AGGCATCAAGAACCTTCCCAATGAAGGGAGGCTGGTGGCCTTTGGGTCTGGTCTGGTAAGGACCACCAAGCCACACTTGGCCTTAGTTCACCTGGAGGCCTGTAGGGCACAGAGTCTGTCACAGGGGTGAATGGGTTTTGGGGGGCAGGAGAGCTACGTGGATCAATCTTTTGGCACAGGAGCTGGCACATTTGCTGTCCTGGGCAGTGGTGATGGAGCTGAACATCTGGAGATAGGGTCCCTGGACAGCTTGTCTGCCCAGCCCATGCTCCAACGCTGGTGGAGGGCAGAACTGGACTGGGTAGAAACCAAAACCTGCTTTCACCTCCTTCCCTGGTTCAGGCACTGTCGGAAAAACACAATCTCCTCTGCGCTGTGCTACTAACAATTAATTAATCACACCTAGGAATAGCAATTAATTGCTTGTGCCCCAGAGGGTTTTGACCCATATCCCAAGGATGAGGCAGGGTCCAGGCTCGCCATGGTGGGACATGTATGTTCCCCAGAATTGTTGGATGACACATCTCTAACACCCAGCATCAAGGGCTATCCACAGGGCCCACCAGGGTCCCAAGACCCTGTCTCACTCCATCCTCTCTCTCCCACTGAAAAACAATGGGACCTTTCTCTGCTGCCCCCTCCTCACTGGAGCAGGGGAGCGGCTGAGCCCACGGGAAGGCTGGGCAGAGAGGAGTTAACTCCAAACCCAACCTCAGGCAGAGGGGAAAAAAAACAACACCAAACAACCAGAGATCAATGGATCAGCAGCAAGAGCAGGGGGAGGGAAAAGGGGGAGACAGAGAGAGAGAGAGCATCGGAGCTCCAGAAGCAGAGACACAGGCGTGGGAACCAGGAGAAGAGAGAGCAGAGCTGGCTGCCAGCACAGAGAGACAGCGAAGCACCGGGCAGGGGTGACAGCGTTGCCCAGACAAAACTCTTCAGCAGCCGCATCCTCCTCCCCACTGCTGCCCAGCTGGACCAGAGGTCTCCCCTGAGCAAGTGGCAAGGCTGCAGGCCCTTCCTTGCAGAGGTGAGTGCCAGCCTCCCAGGCAAGGGGCAGCCTCCAGCACCCTGAGCAAGGACATGACAGCACCCAGAGATGCCCATTTGCAAGTGTGTGTCCAGAGAGTGACCAGAGTCCTCAGCTCCAGTGGGGACGTCCCACGGGGCCAGATGGAGGAGCCAAATAGTTGTTAATGGGACAGAGGGGACCACAGAGCCAGAGAGGCTCACACGTTTGGTGTGGTACAGAGAGGCTGCTGGGAAGAAGTGGCATGAGCTGGGGGATGGGGAGGCATGGGGCTTGCACGACCCAAAAGAGTGTTAATTGCATGTCAACTGTTGCTAGATAACAGTGCTTTTTCCCTCTTGTTGCTGCTCAGTGAAGGACAATTTGTTCTAATGACAACACAACATAGGCAAGGCTCATTATGAGATAGGCTGTTGGTGCTCCGTGCTTGAAGCAGCATTACTCAGGGCTGGAGGGAGTTTTGCAGCAATACCTGGAGCTGTGGTAATAATGTGCTCCTTTGCAGTGATCATCATGCTGTGTTTCAGGCAGCTCTGAGGTTTCCCCTCCATCCGCTCCCAGCTGCCACCATCCAACCCGTGACCACCCTCTCAGCTTGGGGAAGAAGTGCCTTTAGTTGCCTCTCCTCTGTGAAGCATAACTATATACAGGGAGCAAGGGGCACCCAGCTCTGGGGTTGAGGTGGTTGCAGCTGAAGGACCTTTCCTGGGGTGGGAGCGTGGCAGGTGCTGCTGCTGTGGGGTATCATCCAGGCATCACGCCCCTGCTGCTGGAGGTGGCAGAGCCCTTTGGCAAGGATGCCACAACTGCTCAGATGCCACATGCATCCCCTTCCCCATGGCCTCAGAGCACCAGCCAGGATTCAGGCTTGCAAAAGCAAGCAATCCCAAGAGATTTAGCAGCTTTGGGATTGTAAAAGGAATGTAGGGGAGGCCAGGGGGCAGGGCAGAAGGTGCTTCAGAGGGGTGGGAGCACAGGAGGTGCCGTTGTGGTTATGTGAATGCAGGCAGGAAAAAGGGGTTTGGGTTCCACTCGAGCCAGGCCAATGTGGGCTAATTTATCCCAACAGAATCAGAAGTAATTTAGTGATCTGGTGGCATTAGCATCTCTGGGAGAAAAATGGACATCAGACGATGCCCAGGATCTGGCACCTTGGGACCAGACCTCTGGTGGCCATTGTGGTCAATACTGAGCAGTACCTGCTTGCCTATGGCTGTGCACAGGTTCTGTGTCTCCCTTTCTCCCCATGCAGGTCCCTGCAGTCGGATGGGGAGATGCCAGGAGGCTGGAATGCCTCCTCTGACAGCCCAGAGCTGCGAGCTGCAGGGATTATCGTGCCCATCATCTTTTCCCTCATCTTCCTCCTGGGCACTGTGGGGAACGGGCTGGTGCTGGCCGTGCTGCTGCGGAATGGCCAAGCCAAGTACAACACCACCAACCTCTTCATCCTTAACCTGGCCATGGCTGATCTCTGCTTCATCGTCTGCTGTGTCCCATTCCAGGCCACCATTTACACCCTGGATGGGTGGCTCTTTGGGGCCTTTGCCTGCAAGGCTGTGCATTTCCTGATCTACCTCACCATGTATGCCAGCAGCTTCACCCTGGCTGCTGTCTCCGTTGACAGGCAAGTGTCCCCTCCCCTTTCAATCCCTCAGCTCAGGGACAACATATTTGCCACTCTTGAGCTAAGGGGTGGGAGAAAGACCAGTCCTTATCCTGTTGTGTGTCCTGTTAGAAGAAGGTAGGGTCTTCCCAGAGGCAGGGACAGCAAAGCCAGCCTCCTCACCTTGCTGTGCCCTTGACCAGCTCCAAACCAAGCCCTCAGCCTGGTTACCAAGCCCTCAATTGGGAAGGTGGGGTGCAGGCATATGCTGAGGCTTGGTGTCCACCATGCAAAACCAAGAATGGCAAAGCCCCAAGGCAGCAACTCATCTGAGGAGAAAGAGAGAGCCCTCGGGGTCCTGCTCCTGTCCTTCTCTTCTCTGGTTCAAGAGGCACACTGCTTGCCCTTCCTGAGCTAGCACAGCAGAGTGGCTGACAGAGATCCCAGACCTGCTGCTGGGATAACCCTGATCTCCAAGTGAATTCAGCCTCCCTCCCAAGAGGCGGGGAGGGGGAGAGATGTGGCTGCATGTGAAGGGGGACACACATGGCAGGTCCACAGGGACATCGTGTTTGGTCTCTCCTTCCCCTTCCTCTTCCCACCAGGTACCTGGCCATTCGCTATCCACTAAAGTCCCGGGATCTCCGCACCTCCCGGAAAGCAGGAGTGGCCATTGTAGCAATCTGGTCACTGTCCCTGCTTTTTGCAGGGCCATACCTCAGTTACTACCAAGTTGTCCATTACCATGGGGTGCCCATCTGTGTCCCCATCTGGGAGGACCAGCGCCGAAAGATTCTGGACATCCTGACATTTGTCTTCGGATACCTCCTGCCCGTGACTGTGGTAAGCCTGGCATATGCCAGGACCATCAAGTTCCTGTGGACCTCTGTAGACCCCATAGAAAGGATCTCAGAGTCCCGGAAGGCCAAGCGTAAGGTGACCAAGATGATCGTGGCTGTGGCCATCCTGTTCTGCCTCTGCTGGTTGCCCCACCACCTGGTCATCCTGTGCTTCTGGTTTGGCCACTTCCCCTTCAACCGAGCCACTTACGCCTGCCGCCTGGCTTCCCACTGCCTTTCTTATGCCAACTCCTGCCTCAACCCCATCGTCTACGCCCTCATCTCCAAGCATTTCCGCAAGCGTTTCAAGCAGGTCTTCACCTGCCTCTTCTTCCAGAACAAGACCAGGAAGAAGAAGAGAGTTGGAAAGAAAGTCCACATGGTCAGTGTGGGTAAAGGTTTCACCAACAGCACCAGAGGTTTCTATGGAGGCAACATTGAGGTGACCCAGGTCCCAGAGGGGAGCAACAAGAAGAGGGACCTCGAAAGTGCCAGTCATGATGCCAGAGCATGGACTCAGCAGGTACCAGATGCTATGGTCTTTGTTCAGAAGGAGCTCCTGGAAGAGGAAAGTTTGGCAGCAGCTGGTCATCCCCTTGCCATAACCCCTCCAAGAGGAATTCGGGAGTTTCTGACTGTTCATTACAGATGAGCACAGTGAAGAAACCTGTTTTTCAGCCTGTGAGTAACCACTCCATTCCCAAACAGGCAGAATAATGTAAGGCAAAGGGGAATGGATGCAGCAGAGCCACTGAAAGCTTCTGGGGCTCCTGTTAACCCATTGTTCCCACTCACCTCCCCTCACTGGCCCACAGCATTCATCTAGGCATGGCACAATCCACCCATACAGACGCAGAGCAGATGTGATGCCAAGTGACCTGGCTGGCTTTCTTGCAACAGGTTTGAGGGCCTCCATTTCCCAACTTCCTAACTTGCTAATTTCGTGCAGCACCTTGGAACTCTAAAGGGGAAGCAGTCAAAGTGAAAACATCCTGGTTGGAAATCCAGGCAGTTAAGGGCACATGAGAGCATGGGTGGGAAGGGTGGAGGGAGTGCACGGGTACATGAGTGTGAACAGTTGAGCTGGCAGACTCTCTCCCTGGCAGGGCTGGGGTGTTGTTTCCAGCCCCAAGTGGTGAAACACTGTCACCTGCCCACATGCCTGTCTTGTCCCATGGTCTGGGGACAGCCTAGTTCACCTCCATGCCTTTCGGTAGCCCCTGCATCCAGATCAGAGAACCTTTGCCACATTGACTTTCACACAAGGAATTCAGCTGTCTGTGCCAACAGCTCACTGACCCAAACTCTGCAGCAGTCACTAGTCATGCTCTAATGATTTACGCCGTGGCAGGTGAAGAACAGGAAGGCTTGTGTGACAGCTCCTCTGTGTGCCTCCCCTCTGCACATGTGGCTTCTCTGAAGTTCAAGGAGGAAAGGACTGTCTGTCCAGTCTCTTCCCTCCACCCTGCCCCCCAAGAAGTACTCACTGGAAGGTGTTTCCTAGAGCTCTGTTCCACCTGGCTTTAGCTCTTGAGAGCAGATCCTGTAGGACCCTGTCCCACTTCCTAATGCCACTTGCAGTTCAGAAATATCTCCTGAGATTTATCCCCAGTTCTTCCCAAGCATACCTGGTAAGTCCTCCTGCCACGTTGTGGCACCCAATCTGCCCTTCTGCTTACTTTCTCTTTGCCTTTTGCAAATTCCTGAGGGATTGCTGCCTCCTCTTTGCTCTTTGCTCTTTGCTTGCTACTTGGAGTTTCATTCCTTCCTTCTGGGGCTGAAGGACTTGTTGCTTTCTGAGCAGTGATGTTATTCATTGGTATTAGCCACACGAGTGTGGTTTACTGACTTGGCCAGTTTTTTCCATGTGATGATTGTGGGCAAATTGAAGGCTGTCACCAAAGCAGAAGAAAGCAGCTAAGTTGCAAAATGACCTGTGGAGTCAGGTGATAGTTGTGGTCAGATGAAGGAGAAAGAAACAGACCCATGTGCACTTAGTTCAATTCTGTCTCCTCAGTGTCCCTTTCTCCCTCATGGAGAGGGCCTCCAGGAGACCTCAGCAGGCTGGGACATCTTCCAAGACAGCAACTGCTGCGGGATTGCTGTGACACCCATGTCTACCTGGGATCAAAACCTTCCCCTGCTCTGTCCCTGCTCCCCTCAGTAGCCACAGAGGAGCCTTTGACTGTGGTAGCACCTTGACAACACCTCGCAGCAGGGCCAAGCATCGCCCAGCCTGATCACAGGAAGGATGGGAAGTGCCACAGGGATGATGTGGTGGGACAAAAATAATGTTCACCAGAAGGTGCTGGAATTTTTCCTCTGCTTGACCTGAATAAACCCCAGTAATTTCCTTCACCTGCCACTTTTGTTGTGTGCTGGATACAATCTCTGCCTGGCGTGGGGCTCTGCAGTTTGGGCTGGAGGTGGTGAACACTATAGGAGTTGTCTGACCACAGTCTGGTGCTCCCAAGTCACTAGCAGGGTGTCATTTGTTTTATTTGACTTTGCAGACACAGCAGAAGCATAAAAAGGAAGGAAAGCTGAAGGTTTTAAGAGGGATCCAGCACTGCTGTTGTTTAAGAGAAAATCATAAAAGAAGGAGAGCCAGAAGCAGAGAGAGGGAAAAGGAGGGATGATGATTGAAGGACAGATGGGGGGCAACATAAATGATAAATGTGTGGCAGAAGCCAGCCACAGGGACAGAAGATGGCAGTGAGAAGGGAGCGTGAGGTGAGGGGTTAGAAGCAGAGGGCAGAAGGGAGGATGAGGGGGCATGTGGGAGGCAGGAAGCAGTGTGGTGGCAGAGCACCCACATTTTGGCAGAAGCCTTGTCCCCAGCCCAGCTTTTTCACCTTGCTCCAGAGCTGGGGTGAGCATCACTCAGCTGTGCTGAACTCCAGCCCCATAATGTCTCTCTCCAGCATTTTTCTGCATCATCAGGCTGCCAGAGAAGCTCCGAAAAACACCATCCAAGCAAGGCCTCTGATCAGTCTAGTGCACACGTGAGGGAGGGAGCTGGTGGGATTTGTGTTGCTGCAGTGCTGTGGTTTGCTGCACTGTCTGGCAGAACCAGGTCTGGGCACGTGGCTGACTTCCCACAGCTCCCATTTTGTCACATAGTCATGACATGAGTGGAGGGGGGAGGGGGACCAAGCAGCGTAGTCGGCTGCCCTGGTGTGCCAAGTCCATGTGCCACAGGTAATCACAGCCGCCTGAGACCATCCTCTGTGGGGATGAGACAGCTTGGCCATGGGGACACAAGCTGTGTGATGCCACCTGGGTTGTGAGTGCAAGCAGGACAGGTCTTGTGTTGTGTGCCAGCACAGCCATAGCCCCCGAGCCTCAGTCCTTTGGCCTGGGAGCTTCTGGTGGTGCTGCAGGACAAGCCCAGGAAGAAGCTCTAGGAAAGGGACAAAGACAAGTCACATGAGAGTCTGGAAGGGGGAGAAGGGATTCCTTTCACTGGCCAGGCAAACCTTGAGGAAGGGAAAGGGAACAGCCCATGGAAGCATCTCCACAGTGAGAGGCAAGGGAGAAATCTCTCCTAGCACCACAGTTCCTGACCACATCCCAGGGGCTTTGCTTTTCTCTGGGAGAGGCCAGGACCATCAGGCCCACACTGAGATGGTTTCCTCTTGACAGCAAAAGAGATGAGCTTGCTATTTCAGACCCGTTAAACAAAGCTCAACTCCCACGGAGTTCCTCATCAATCTCCTTTACAGTCCTGTAGCCAGGACTGGGATGCTTCGGTCACAAACCATCAGACCTGCCACCATCTCAGCTCAATATTTACAGTAAACTTTACAAGGTTGCAACAGCCCTCCTTTCCCTTAATTACCTATGGCATTTAATTAGTGCTATGTGGCTTTTGAATAAGTAACTCTTAACATGAAGCAGGTCTTCACTCACAATGCCCTAAGAGCAGTGAAGGAGGGAAAGCTTCACAGAAAGTGTTGAATGAAAGCAGCAACACTGTGGGACGCTCCAGACTTCTGCACTGAAACTGGGAAACAGTTTCAGACTGTCATGGCAGCAGTAGGATGCAGAGTGAACACCTCTGCCCCAGATGGGGCAGACGGTTCTTCCATGGCAGTTTGCTGCCCCTCACCCTACTGCCTACAGACTGTATATGCATGGAGCTACAGCTCCCAGCAAAGACCTACAGGCTGACTTTCCAAGCAGAGAACTAGGCACTACGACAGTCTCCGTAACCTGGAAACCTGCAGGGACCATGCTGCTCACTCTCTAGCTAATTAAAATGGAGTGGGAGCTAATGCTGGGGAGCTCCAGCCAGCAGAGAGGAGCCATTTACTGCCAGCCCACTGACTGTTGGTAGGTGGCTGCCAATGTGAGCCTGCAAAAGTTGTTGGAAGCTGCACAGCCCCATCAGCAGTATGCTGAGCTGCACACAGGATTGTGGAAGCTGCTGGTGTCCTTGCTTGTGCATGGTGGGACCTTGGCAAGGCAGCTAGAGACTGCATCCAGGTTTTTGTCCTCATCCTTGCCCTCTGACACTCTCAGTGTTGCAGGCATCGTACAGTGGGACTGGGGGACATCAGGGAGCAAGGGCCTTGCAGAGCTCTAGTGAGCTGGAGAAGAGCCATGAGCCTCCCTGTACTTGTCTTCCCTTCTTCTCCCCTGCTTCTGCTTGCATAAATCTTCCCTCATTGCTCTGCCCTGCTTGCTCTTAAAATTCCCAGGCAACGTGGCATTTCCAACTCTCTTTGAAGCTGTTGCATGAATTGCTAGAGCTCAGCTCCAAGGACACCCCTTCCCCCATATGGAGGCCAGCTGAAGTGCTACACTGGGAATGATTTTTCTTTTTCCATTCAAGTGTTTGTCATTGCTCTCTGCACCTTGAGCCTCCCTCGTCTCCTATCCCTGTTTCTGATTTCTCTGGCTTCTCTGCAGAAACTGCCTTTCAGCAACATGTCCAGTGTGCTTTGCCCACCTTCCTGGGGTTGGCTAGTCCTGAAGCTGCCCTCTGCCTCCAATGCCATGGCTGGTGGCCAGCTCCTGTGGCCAAAAGCAGCCTCCAGGTGAGAGGAATATCTGCATTGTTTCTGGGGGTGAAGCCCCACTTCAGAGCCCAGAGAACTGGAGGGAGAAGGGAACAGCGGTCGGGAGCAGCGACACAGCACTGCTGGATACTGCTTGTTCCTGCCTGCATGAAGCCAGGCAGTTGCTTGCCCCTGATCCTGCTCCTTCAGGTCCTGGCTTGCAAAGGGAGTGGATCAGGTCAGTGGACAATTGTTGTACATTGAGTTGAAGCCTAAATACAATAGGACAGAAAAATCAGGGAGAAAACCGGGGGGAGAAGGTGCACTTAGCACAGCAAGCATCTGCAAGCCCTGGGTCTCATCCCTAAGCTCAGCCTGGTGTGAAGCTCTGATTTTGGGGAGCACATGAGCAATGGCAGATGCTGAACCTGGCCTGGGGAGGCTCTGGAGTCAGGAGGGAATTCCTGTCTGCCCAGTAGCAGCATACATGCTCTAACTGGCTTCACAGGCCAAAGGTAGATGTGAAGAAAAGGTATTGTGTCACATTGTTGACTTGGGTTTAATTAGAGCTGAAGGAGCTTGGTTGATGCTTTCCACTCAGCCTCCCCTCCAACACTTATTAGCATTCTGCAGTCTCCTCTCCCAGCTTCACGCCTTAACTAATGACTCCTTGCTTATATTTTCTTTCCTACCTGTCATCACTTGGGCTGGCAAGCTCGGCTTTAACCCTGCAGAGGCTGGTTTGGCTGAGCACAGCCACACCAGGAGCAGGCATTCCCTGTCTCCCTGTCTACAGACACATGGGGCTGTGGGAGAGAGAAAGCTGTTAAAAGGATGGCTCCTAATTCCCTGGCAGAGCAACAGGCTCGAGTGCTGCATGTGCTTCCCCTTGTGCTCATGGGAACGGGACCTTGCAGAGACACCCTGCAAGCAGCCAGGACAGCCCTGCAAAGGCAGCTCGGGGCAGGACAGCTTTGCTGGTTCTCAGGCAGAGAAGTAATGGTGTGACGTAGCACTATCAGCTATAGCTTATTTGCTTTTGGGTTTAGCTGCTAGTTCCTAATCCATGACCAGCCTTAGCAGGTTGCCTGCTGATTATTCTAATTCTTCCAACAACCATGTGCTCTCTTCCCCTCTCAGAGCTTTCAAAAAAGCCCAGAGGAAAGCTACTTGCTGAATCTCTTTTATCTCTTTTGTTTAGTTTTGATTAGGAAGCTGATTCAAAACTGCTGGCTTTTCCACCTAGTTGCCCCATGGGCCCTGAGCTGCCTAGGGCTGCTCTCCCACACTGGCCAGGCACAGTGCACAAAGAAGGCAACTTTCTGCAAGTGCCTTTCTGTGATGGAGAAGAAAAGATCTGTCTTGCTCACAGAACGCACAGAGGAAGCTGATGAAAGTGTGGGAGATTTGCCAGAAATGCTTCAAGGGGCATCGTTAGCAGTGCAGATAATCACAATAATGAATTTGGAGTCTGCTGGAAAGGCAAAGGTGGAGGAATTAATGGTGTTCAGATGTTGGCTGGATACCCTGGAGTTTAATTATTTAAGCTGCTGAAGAGTTGAACAGATTCTTGATGTTTGCACCTACTGCAGCATGTGCTTTGCATTCAGTTTGACAGTGAGTGGTCTCCTGAGAGAAAGGCCTTTTTTCTTAGTAACATCCATGCAGCTTTGCTGGGAGGCTTTGCTTAGGGCTGTTGCTTCTGCTATGTGCCCTCAGTGAGACACTAGCAGGTTTTCAGCCTTCTCTTGCTTGGATGAGCCAGATCCTCAACCTGGCTGGTTTTGATCCTGTCTTCAAGCACAGCAGGGTTGGGTTCA